CTAATAACGATAACAGCGGAATGCTTGAAAGATAAGTGAGTCCATCAACTCCAACGGCATCACTGAGTATAGAACCACGATCCTAAGGCATCTTACTCGTCGTCTGAAAAGTTTGCAACATGAACGTTGCAGCCCGAAAACGGGTCAGCACATGGAATATGCTGACAAAGTAACACATAGAGAATAATGAAAGAGCAAAGCTATACTACATGCATATATGGCTGGTGGAAAGCTCTATGGTTACAGTTTTGCATAAAGCTAATTTTTCCCTACTGTAAAGGAATAAATTTTATTTAACTATCATGGTGGTTGTTAAACATTGAGAATGGTTGACAGCATTCTCAATCCCAATTAAGTAATATCGTCATTAAACAAACCCAACAATATTAATTAAAGTAACATGATGAGATTCACAGGATAATCCAAATACTAAATACTCAAAACGTCCATAACCGGGGACACGGCTAATCATGATTAGTTTATACACTCTACAGAGGTTGCACACTTTTTCCCACATGACTCGATCTCCTCCGTTGGTTTTCTCGCACTACATGGTGTTTGAGAAACGGATGACTGAGACATAGTCTTTCAGAAGCGCTAGCACCTTACGATGGGTAGACCTGTACACCTACTTTCCCCTACATCTGCTAGTCTACCACTGTAAGAGTTCGCACGGCTTAGTTAACAATGCTAGAGCCCATAATAGCATGTGGCTGCACACAGAAGTTTCTAGCATGAATAATCTTATGATCCCTTTGAGCTTGGGTGGCGGTCCAAAACAAACAGGCAATCTTGGAATACCCAGGTACCCCAATCCACCCAGATGTGTATTAAAGTTGCCACCTTAAATAAACCATTAACTAGCAATCTCACATCTGTCATGGATACACTCACCCAATCCACGTCTACTAGCATAGCATGGCATAATAAGCAAACGTAGAAGTAACTCCCAAAGGTTTGATAATAAAACAGGTAATAGGTACTACCTCATCTACTTCCCAAAACCCACATATTAATCAGATCCTAATCATGCAATTGTTTGAGGGTTGATCTAATGCATAAAACTGGGTAATAAAGAAGTATGATCAAAGTGTTACTTGCCTTGCTGATGGTCCGCGAAACCTATGGGATTCGAAGTAGCAAGCGGCGCAATCCGACTACTCTATAGTAAGCAAACAAATAAACAAGCATACAATAAGTACTCATCTAATGCACAGGTAAAACTCAAATAAAATATCTAACCAAAAAGTTCAACTTAAGAACTCCGGTTGCACAAAGAATCAAATCGAACGAAGAAACAAAATTCAAACGGTGAAAGAAACAAACTTCATTTACTAATCTGGACCTAAGTAAATTTTTACAGAAGTAAAAACTTGTTTGAGTTGATTATTCGGAAAGAGGGTTTCAAGACGAAACTCCAGGCGCTTGAATCGCCTGATTCCGATAAACAAGCGAAAAGATATACTAAAACGAAAATCAGATCAGAAATCGCGATTAGAAAAATCACGGAATAAATCCGAGAAAAAGAAAAACGACGAACAGATTAACGAACGAACGTTCGTTATCTGGATCTAAACGATGAACGCGTTCGTTAAAACGAACGAACGAGCGAACGCTCGCTAATTAACCTAAACCGGGAAAAAACCAATCTAATAAAAAAACGAAACTAAAAAAACGAACGAAAACCGAACGGTTTTCTAGGAAAAACCGGCGGCGGCGAGGTCAACCTCGGGGTGCGGGTCGTCGTCGGCGGCGGCTCCGACAAGGGCGGCGATGGTCGGCGACGGGGTCCAACGAGGCGGCGGCGGTCGAGGGCAACGGTGGGCGG